TTGTATTCCGGAGTCCGTTCTCGGTCTAGGGCTCCATCTGTCACCAGCTTGTAGTAATTATTAGATGAAGAATGAATCTTAAACGGAGTATCTCTACTTAAACTACATGTAACTTCTCCATTTTCCCCAGAATCCTGGTCCTGTGTTTTGAAGAGAGCCACAACCATTCCTGGAAGGGAATCTTCCAAAATCTGATCAGAGAAAGAAGTAATGATTATTTCAGGGTTGTTGTCATTTTCGTCTAGAACTTCTACAATTACTTTACACCGCGTAGAGAGGGATCCTCGGTCCTTGGCTTCTACATCCATGGTGTATCTTTCTACTTCTTCAAAATCCAAGGGCTGATGAGTTATAATGTTTCCTGTAGCAGAATCCAGAGAGAACACGTGCTGGGCTTTATTAGCTACACCTAGGAATGAGTATGTGATCTCAGCATTGAAGCCTTCATCTTGGTCAGTGGCGCTCACCTTCACCACCAAAGTGCCTGAGGGTACACCTTCAGGAAGACCGACCCTGTATATATTTTGGCTGAACACTGGGGGGTTATCATTGGCATCCACCACCAGGATTTGGATTTGAGCCGTGCTGAATCGTGGTGGATCCCCGCTGTCGAAGGCTGTCAGCACCAGATGATGAGAGCTTTGTGTTTCTCGGTCCAGGGTCTTCTTCAGTACTAATTCTGGATATTTGCTACCATCAGGACTGTCTTTCACCACCAAGGAGAAATATTCATTAGGACTTAACTGGTATTTGCTCAGTGAATTCATACTAGTATCAGGATCTTCTGCAGACTCAAGAATTGCTCCGGTCCCCAGGGGAACAGATTCACTGATTTCTAAATTTATTTCATCCTTATGGAACTGAGGGGCATGGTCATTAATATCCTCAATAGCCACAATGATATGAAAAATATTTAGAGGATTTTCCACCACGGCTTCCACCTGCAACTCACATCTTCTTCTCTCTTTGCATATCTGCTCACGGTCTATTCGGTCGTTCACGAGTAAGTCCCCGCTCTCTGGGTCTACCCTGAAAAGCAGCTTCTCCGTGCTAACTCGCAGCTTCCGAGCCGACACGTCCAGGACGCTGAGCCCGAGATCCTTGGCGAGGTTCCCCACCACCGAGCCCTTGGCCAGTTCCTCGGGAATGGAGTAGCGGATCGGCTCGCAGAGCGCGGGGTAGAGCAAAGGTAGCAGGAAGGGAAACAGTACCTGTAGCCTGCCGGCTGCGCGCCTCTGAAAACAGCTCCCTCCCATCGTTCGCTCTAGTTCTCTCGGGGTCCCAGTCTCTCCAGCTGGAGAGAGTGCACGCTATCGCACTGGTAGCTTTCGGCCCTAGAACTTACAGAGCCTCCAGTTTGGGATCTTTGTGTACTGGAGAGTCTGCGCAGCACTTAACCCGGTGTGGAAGCGGGTTCTTTTTCTTTATGTTGTTGCCTGCACAGGAAAACCAGGCTACAATCTGAGGAATCCCGGGCGACTGCGCTTACCCTGTACTGGCCGACAGCGGCGCCCAGAGGCTTTGTGTGGAACCGCAATCTAGTTTGTCCGTATTTCAGAAATCTTTTTATTTTTCATTTTTTAATTTTTAAAAATATTTTATTTTCAGTAATCTCTTCACCCGACGTGGGTTCACCCGAACCCACAACCCCAAGGTCAAAAGTTGCATGGTCTACCGACTGAGCCAGCCAGGCGCCCCAGTAAATCTTTTTAAAATGTAAGGTGATAGCTAAAAATATTGAATCTTATTTCTCATTGATTTCATTTTCATCATGAAACATGTTTCACATGGTCAAAACTACCATATGTTTTATATGTTAAAAATTTACATAAAGTTTGAACAGGTAAAAGGATTTTTCAAAATTCAAAAACAAAAAGCACAGAGGAATATAGAGTGGAAAGTAGGTCTTCTATCTCATGGCTCATTGCTCTCCAATTCTTCCATCCAGAGGTAATCACTGTTGTTCCTTTTAAAAGTAATTATCCACAAAGGCAAGTACTGAAGATAAGCAAAAAACCTTTTTCGTCTTCAATCCTAGCTTATATTTAGCTAGAAAGTATTAACCCATTCCCCATATTTAGGAACTAGAAGGCAGTCATTCCCTTACTCATTACAATCATCTAGAGTGTTCTGTACTGCTTTTAAATAACAGTATTTTAAAACACTTGGTTACAATAGCTACCATGTCAAAAGACTTTGTTTTAAAAATCTGTATTTTTCAGAACTATTATTTCAGATAGATGCATAATAAGTTTGACTCCCAAAGTCAGAAATTTAAAATGTCTCTTTCCATGATTTAAGCTAATAACTATGACCCAAAAGGATGTGCTCTCCTTCCACAGACCTACTGTTCAACAACTGTTGAATGACATGAGAAAAGTCATGGTCTTAAAAGTATTTTGAGACACATTAGGGCATTCTTTGACTTTCCTCTACCATATTAGTCTAGAAGAATGTTAGTACCAAACCAAATACATAACCATCTTCACTAAAGTAAATAGGCTCATCAGTAACTCTACTGATCACTTGTTTAGAATAATTCTGTGACAGATGGCTCTGTTGTGCAATGGATGGCATATTGGACTTCTAGAATAATTTTGTGTATTTCTCTGCTTATTTCAGATCTCCCACAGAAGCGATATTTCTTTCTTGACTTTAAGTTTATTGTGACTCTTAATTTCAGAGTTTTCAGATATTCATGTGGGTCTCCGTTCTTCTACATTAAAGAGCCACTGAAATACTGTTGGCACACATCTTTTGCTTTTGCTTTCATTTAACCTTCTGTAGGTCCTATAGAATGCCTACCGGGCAAGGAAAGTCAAATTAAAATGCTATGTCTTCCACATAACAGTATGAAATTAGAATCACAAGCAAAAAGGATGCTTCATTGTTACCAGTTATGATTACAGTTGGAAAAATTTAAGCAAACATTGTTATCAATTGTTTAGAAAATATTAATGAAAAATTCAAATTTCTCTAGGAAGCATATTCAACTGTTACTGTCGCTACACGGTATAGTTTTAAAAATATAACCACAAAAGTACTGAGAAGTGGTGTTGCTCTTCTCCTTGGGAAGAACAACATTGAGGGGACTTGTTTTGGCATTGTTTCCAGTGAAGCTAATGCATTTGTTTCTGATATGCACCGATTACCGGACCCGCCTTCAAAACAAGAACTAGAGTTGCCTAAGGGGCCAGGGTTTCAGCATGTGTCCAAGAGAAGTGCACGTAAATTAAGAGACACTTCTGTATAGAAGTACCCTCAGGAACTGTCATATTGTATTCAACAAATATGTAAAATAGAAGGTTCTCCAAGGCAAATCATAATAGCCTATGACCACAGGCCTTCATTGGGATTAGGTGAATACTGACCAGAAAGTAAAAACATACCAACCTCAATAACCACTAAGTTCTACTCCTCGTTATTTTAGCAAGAGACAAATATCATTAAACCAGAGGGAAAAAGTGAAAAAATAAAGATCGGTAATTTCTATCATTATGCTAAAAATAATTATAATATAATATTATATTATATTATAATAATATCATATTATAATTATTATGCTAAACCTAAAAGTAATGTCAATTATAATTCTTGATAGGAGAGTAAAACTATAACTCACTGGAACCAAAGGGGTATCTTCTACAGGAAACTTCGAATCATCTAACAAAGACAAAGGATCCTTTTTCTCACAGCTCTCTTGACTGATGAGCGTGTCCGCATAGTTGGGCTGGGGGAAGATCAGGTGACT